CAGAATGAGAAAGGGTGTCGTCGGAGGAAGCCGTTGCCTGAACGACATGCCGTCCGGTGGTGGTGGGTGTGAAGCTGGGGGGGATTGCTAAGGTTGTGTTAGATTTTGGTTGTCATGGGGTGGCAACTTGGAAGGGAAGTGGAAAACGAAAAAAAAGGTGGCTTGGAATATGAGTTCATGGGTTCGCATTGTAAGAGAGAGACATTCACGTGTGCTGAGACTGTGTGGGGAAAGAAGAAAATTTTGGTACGCAAAGTTGAAGTTTTGAAGCATGGTTTTCATAAATCGGATGCATTCCATTAAATAATTGCCCAATATTGTTCAGTCTAAAAGTGGAACCTATATTTTATATTGATTATCCAAAAAACTCCATTGTTTATCCAAGATAACTGGATTTCTTTTAAACATACTGCTAATCACAAGGATGCCAAGCTTGTATATATTGGGTATTTCTCTGTGTTACGCTACACATCATTATAATAATCTAACGGTTTTAGACATAACACGCTATCAAACTCTGAGATTTTTAAAATTTCTTTTGAAAGCAGCTTTGAGTTTTTTTAAATTTAAAAAAAACTAAAATGTGTTACATGACAATATGTTTTCTTGTTATATAAATGAGGTTCAAATTGCAAAGGAGAAAAAAACTGTATTTACACTAAAAATACATTGGCTTATTATGATTGTAAAATTTCAGAACAAAAGTCTTAAATAAAAAGAAGCAGTTCCTCCACCGTCCAATCAGTCCAATGTGAGTAAAAGTCTAGTCGGCTGTTTAATTCACACCGAGCCTTGTTGCATAATGCTTCCAAAACCAGCAATGAAAGAAAGAGAACAGAAGAAAAGAGAGGAAGAAGAAGAAAGTGGGATACAAAGCAATTAATAACCTTTGGACTCTCACCTGTTCATGCATGTGTTGGTTGACAAAATAAAAACGCGTGTTAATACGTTTACTTTGATATCACAGAGCAGGCACAGACATAGAATCTGATCTAGCCGCCAGGGTTGACTGGGCTTTCACCTTCTGCCACGTGTAGCCTAAGATGCCACGTAAGCATCACTAGTGACCTGGAAGCCATGGAACTATAAATAAATGATTAGGCCTCAAGAAAATTCCGCAATATTGGAGAAAAATGTACACAAGATAAGTGTATGAAGTTGACACAGTTGGATTTACTAGCTAATTGCAATACTATATTTACTTCAAAGGTTGATAATTCAAATGTGTTAATTTTAATAATTATCTTATGTGGAATTTTTTACGTTCACGTTGAGTCACCGAACGATGCCGTGGTGTATGAAAATAATATGATTAAGGTGAAAAATTTATTCAAAAGGCAACAACCATATCTCTTATGTATAATATATGATCTCTTCATGTGTACCACTACCGGTCATCACATCACTAATACCAATCCTTGGACGCAATTCATTATTGTCCCTTTTCTGTTGGCATATAATATATAATACTGAAAGCTTTAGCTCAATCTTCATTTTGTTTGAAACATCCTATGAAGTTACAAAAAAGAAATTTGATACATCTTTTCTAAAAGTATCTTTTGAGGAAAGGAAGGGTACTTTCCTGCTCAAGTTAAATGTAATTACCAAGAGGGGTTGGTTTAGTTGATAAAGTTTCTGTATTGTGTGTTGCTCTATCAGTGTGCGAGTCTTGCTATTAGCAGTTCTGTATTTGGTGGGTAATATGTAAATTCCTCTGTAAATTCGAAAAGGTCTGGAGTTTGCCCTGGTCATGAGTGTCCTAAACTTTTTATTAAAAAAAAAAAGAAGAAGTTAAATGTAAAATATTTTGATGATGCTAAAACTCAGTGAGCAAGTCAAAATGACTAAGGAATAAAGGAGGTGGTGGAATCTCTACGCCTATTGGGAACTAGTTCAGTGAATGTTAGCTAGACATCAAGCCCAAAGTCAAAGACATACCAAACTTGTGGCCCCATGTACCCAACAACCATGAACACAAAAGATCCTAGAAAAATTTCTTTGATTCATGGACTTTAAAACCTCTTTGCCTTTACGACCACAAGAAACCTCTTTGCCTCACCAATCCCATCGCATCCCATCTCACTTTTTCTGGTGTCTTTTTCTCTTTATCTTCAACTTTGTAGCCGAAAATTCAACAAACTTGTTAGTATTAATAGTTTACGCGCATGTACAACGTGGATGACTAACAATCGTTAATAAGTATTATTTTAATTCAAATTGTAAACATCACATCCATTAACAATTGAAAATCACCAAATAATATTAACAGTTAACTAAACTTAAGTTTTCAATTCCATACACCCTAAACTTTCTTGGAAGATTCACTATTATATTCAATATAGGTGTTCAAATTATAAAACAAATCTCACACGAAATGGATTTTAAAAACACACCCAAAACCCATTTACAACATAACAAAGAGGCTTCGAACTTCTTATAAATTACAAAACTGCCATTTATTTCATAAAACAAGCCCAACCCCAACCCCAACCCCAAAATACTTAGAACACTCAATAGAGCATCAAAGTAATTTAATAATCAAGATTAAATTTAATAGGATCTGTTGTTATTTTTTGAGTTTGTTTATAGAAATTAAATAGTATAGAATTTATCTACATCGCCAGTACTAAGAATGAGTATATAACTAAATATCTCAACTTTTTTTTTTGGTGATCGTACACCTTAGATTTTTATGTGTCTATTTTACCTAGGGGTGGTTGCGGTTCGGTAACCGCGATTTTTTGCTCAAACCGCGAACCGACCGACTATTTGCGGTATGGGGATTTTCCAAACCGCGAACCGACCGCAATTTGCCG